AATACTAATGTTAGAAGAAGCTGCCAAAGATGCTGAAGCTAGAACTGAAGAAAGGCTTCAGGTGACTTTACTCAAATACTTACTACAAAATCAATAATATTTCTTTCAAAAATTACTACCTATAAAATTTATGAAATATTGTAATTGTGTATTAGGCGGAGCAACGAAGACATAGAGAATGGGTGAGCCGTTTGGAACGTGAAAGACAGTTACAACTAGAAAATTATGCCATCAAATTGCAAGCGATAGAAGTAGAAGGAACTAATTTAAGAGACGAAATTGGAAGGTTACGTGAACAGCTAGAAAAAGTTAGAGCAGAAAAAAGTCGGTTAGAAAATGACCTTGAAGAGGCTAGAAGGGAGGTAGAGACTGTACGCGAAGGTGAGCGTCAAGCAATCAGTCGGGCTAATGAAACTCACTATCAACTTGAAGCTGCCAGAGAAGAACTTTCTATGAGAGTCGAGGATCAGCAAAGGATAGAAGAATTAATGCAACAAGTGGCACAACTTCGGGCTCATAATAAAAGTACGTTTATAATTTGTAATACAAAAAATTATGATAATTTGTGCTAATAATGTAAAAAAATTGGCGTTTTTTTTCATAAGGTTTAGAGGAATCAAGGGATGAATTACAAGCTGCAGCGGCTCTGCAGGCAGGCCGTGAACTTTTAATGTTAAATCCTTGTAATAATGTTACTGAAAAAGGACCTAGTCTTGCTGTAGAATTATTAGCTGGCATGAATCAAGATCAAGTATGTTATGCTCATTACTTGTATAGCAAATGTGATTCTTAAACTACGAATATCATTTTGTATTTTACCTTCTCTTTCCTATTTGGGTTTACTGTAGATGGACGGTCAGATTCCTGGAGAAAGTGGTGAACCTTGTAGTATATCTGAAGTATGTATCAAATTCCAAATATACATAAGTTTCAAATTTAATGATATCAATTCCTATATTATAGTTTTAAATTATTGCAGATGAAACAAGCTTTAAAGGAGCAACAAGAGGTTAATACACAATTAAGGGCATACATCGATGGAATCTTACTGAACATAGTTGAAAACTATCCTCAGTTGTTAGAAGTGAAACAAACTCATTGAACTATTACATTCACTACCGCTCAAAAGTATCCGGACACTTGTAAGATGTGTGATAATAGCACATAAATGTTACTTAAATGTCTAAAATAGTAACTAAAATCAGTCTTTATCAATTTCTTATAGAATAAACGAGTTTCAATTTAATAATTACTTATTTAAAAACTTACCAATACTATAATAAAATTAAATACGTATTTTGACGAGTTCATCGCGGTTAGATATTATTGCTTGAATTAATCGCGGTAACCTTCCTATCAGTTTTTGAACTGTCTCTAAACTAATTTCCTTCCACGTTTCTTCTAAATATTTCTCGCTGGGGTTCAAGTCGGGTGATTCGGGGGGCTACTTCATTATTTTTAATACATTTTCATTCGCTAAGGTTTTTAAATAGTTTCTACACAATTTAACGGTGTACTTAGGATCATTATCCTACATAAAAATAAAATTGTGTCCTGTATGTTTCTTTCTCCAGAAGGCACGGCGTGTTCTCTCAAAATATTTAAATGTTCTTTGCGAAGAATTCCGTCTATTTTCACTCAATCCTTCACCATATTTGTACCAAAGCAACCCCACACAATAACAGAACCACCTTCATGTTTTACTGTAGGCACCACACAATCGTTTATTAATTTTTCACTCTGCTTTCTTCGAACAAACTGATGCCTTTTGCTTTCAAAAATATCAAACTTCGATTCATCTGTCCATAACACATTTTCCCAGTTTGTTATAGTCCAATTTTTATGTTTCCCTTGCCCAATTGAGTCTCTTTGTTTTGTTTATGGGTTTTAAAAGTGGTTTTTTTACAGCTACACATCCACGGAGGCCGACTTTAAGGAAGCGCCGTTTTACTGTAGCCACGCTAACAGGATTTTCTTTAGTTTTATTAATTTCGATAGTGATTTTTCGTGCAGTAAGACGTCTATTGTGTTCGCTGATATTTTCTGTATAGTGATTTTCTGATTCAGTGGCTTTTTTGGTCGTCCCGATCTCTTTTTTGATCAACAACCTTCAACACTTGCGTATTTCTTAATAATATTATACACCATCAACTTTGGAATTTTCTTTCTTAGAGCAATTTCGTTAATTGTCCTACCAAAAGTTCTTGTTTTGAACACATATTCGAACATAAAATACTTCCGTTAGGTTTTGCTTTTACGGATACAAATTTAGTTATTGCATTTTAGTTAAATAATTTGTACATAAAAATTAATTTTACTGTATCATGATACTTTACTGTATATAACAGTAAAAATAACAAATGATAAAATTATTGTAAATACTTTTATTCCTAGTTTAAATTACATTCTGTCAAAAACAAGTAAGTGTTCAGATATTTTTGAGCGGTAGTGTAGGTAGTCCGTTACTGAATTTAATGTTATTTGTTTGAGGCAGTTGTACATTAAACTTCTTTGTTGGAATTCTTATTGATAGGTTTATACAAGCAATTTTTGTCACAACTATACAAAATACTACGTGGGAAAGCAATTTCCGTCCATATGAACTTAACATTTTAAAAATGTGTTACTATTGTTAAATTTAATATTTTCACTGCCATTGTTATTACTTCAAACAGACGTTTTTGATACTCAAGGCAGTGGATAAATTAAAAGAATAAAATAGGAAGTAGGTTAAACACGTATAAAATTTAATTAAAAAATTATTATAAGCTCTGTATTGTCCGAATTCTAAAATTCGGAGCCTTATAACTTTGCCTTTTTAAAAGTGATAAAAAACTATTTTCGAACGCTGCGAAATAATGAATGTATAGCATAATGTATAAATTATTATACGTATGAAATCATCGAATTTTTTCTTGCGAGAAGATGAATTAATGAAAGATATTTAAAAGTTCTTAACAAGTGGAACAATGTATAGCTGCATGTTTATATCACGAAAATTGTGATATTAACAAAAAGTACCTACGAAATTTAATACTTAATATTTTCCCCCATAGTTTATGGTATATCTTAAAAATTTATACTGAATGATATAGAGAATGTAATTATAAATGATTATATTTTACTACTTATAGTTTCACCCTACTTATAAATCCCATATTAATTTTATTTTAAAAGATCGAAATGATTTTAATAATTTGTGTTCAAAATTTTCGAATAGTTACAACGATTTATATCTTCCAAAGTAAATTGTTCATTTTATATTTATTATAGTTATTATTAAAAGAAAATACAATAAATCACTAACAAAATCAAGTTAATTAAACTATTTTGTATATAGTTTTAGATACATTTTTACATAAAAAGTACAATAAAGAAATATTTGAAATAGATAGTATAATAATGATAAATATTTTTGTAATTATAATAGAAGCATATACTGAATGAGAAATTAGATATTAATAGAAGTAAATATATGAATATTAGTTTTTCCTTGATATGAATCAATAAAAATATACACTAAAACATAAAATTAATTGACATGTGCCACGCATAAATATTTCACATATCAAAAGTACGTCACACGTATATGACAAAGTGATGAGTATTAAACATAATACGCATGCGCTAAAGGTGATGGCATCAGGTGATAATTGAGGTCGAGACAATACGGCATCAGCTGTCACTTTTTAAATAGTTTTGATGTATCATTTTGTAATTTAAAACGTGACATTAAAAGATGATGTCGGAAAGAGATTATGCGCCGCTTAGTTCTGCTTGTGTACGTTCTCTTAACGACAAACTTTATGAGAAACGAAAAGCAGCTGCATTGGAAGTAGAAAAGTAAGGTTATATATTTTGTTTACTGCTTATGTGTATTTGTAATATTTTCTATTACTATTATGTACTATTTACATTTTATTTCAGAATGGTAAAAGAATTTGCTGCACACAATAATACTGTTCAAATCAAACGATTATTAAAAGTATTAGGTCAAGATCTTGCTACTTCACAGAATCCACACACACGAAAAGGTGGTTTGATAGGTTTAGCAGCAATAGCAGTAGGACTGGGAAAAGATACTGGTCAATATGTAGAAGACTTAATTCATCCTATTCTAGCTTGTTTTTGTGATTCAGATTTGCGTGTAAGATATTATGCTTGTGAAAGTTTATATAATGTAGTAAAAGTAGCAAGGGGTGCTGTATTACCACAGTTTACAGATATTTTTGCAGCACTTAGTAAATTAGCATGTGATTCAGAACAAAATGTAAAAAATGCTACTGAGTTGCTTGACAGGCTTATGAAGGTAATTAAAGTTCTTAAAATATAAAAAAAATAGTATATAATATAGTATGAAGATATTTATTTTAAGTACTTTTCCAGGATATTGTAACAGAGAGTGGTTTGTTTGATTTAGTTGGATTCATGCCTTTATTACGAGAACGCATTTATACCAAAAATCCATTTGGTAGGCAATTTGTAATAGCATGGGTATCTGTCTTAGATGCTGTTCCTAACATGGATTTTATCATATTTTTACCTGAAATTCTTGATGGTTTATTTAGAATATTAGAAGATCACACACCAGAAATTAAGAAAGTTACAGACACAGCTCTTGGTGAATTTTTAAGAAGTATAAAGTCTAATCCTGCAAGAGTAGATTTTCCAGGAATGATAAATATCTTAATTACACATGCACAAAGTACAGATGAATTATTACAATTAACAGCAATTACATGGATCAAGGAATTTGTACATTTATCAGGTCCTCTTATGCTTCCTTATATGTCTGGAATTCTTCTAGCAGTATTGCCCTGCTTAGCATATGATGGAGATTCTAGAAAAAGTATTAAGGAAACTGCAACACAAGTGAATTTAAACTTGATGAAATTGATAACTATGGAAAATACACAGCTTGTAAATAATGTTGGTGAATTTGATGTTCAAACTCAGAAGGGTAAAATTATCTCTTTTTAAAGTCTTAAAAATTTCTAGAATTCTCTGAAAAAATAATAATGAAAAACTAATTTTTTTTAGATTCTAGTCAAAATTGTTCCTTAGCTGAACTCTTAGATTTATCTAGTGTTGTTGAAGTGTTAACAAAGCACTTAATGTATATGTCAGTCCAAACAAAAGTTGCTGTTTTGAAGTGGATTCATCACTTATTCACAAACATTCCACATAAAATGTTTAATCATATTGAAAATTTGTTCCCAATTCTAATGAAGTCTTTAAGTGATAATTCAAATGAAGTGGTACAACAAACATTAGTTGTAATGGCTGAAATAATTAGTTCAAAATCACCTGAAGCAGCTACTACAGATTCAAATGCAGAAATGCAAAATAAATATTTCACAAAATTTATTGTAAATTTATTAAAACTATTTTCTACTGACAGAAATTTACTAGAGGAAAGAGGAGCTTTTATTATTAGAGAATTATGTGTTTTATTGAGTGCTGAAGACATTTATAAGACATTAGCAAAAATATTGTTGGAAGAACCAAATTTAAGTTTTGCATGTAAAATGATACAAACTTTAAATGTCATACTTTTAACAAGTTCAGAGTTATTTGATTTGCGAAATAAACTTAAAGATTTAGATTCTTTAGTGAGTATTTATATATTCCTTTTATGTTTAGTAATTATATTAAATTGTGTATTATTACAGGAAAGTTGCGAATTATTCAAATGTTTATATGTATCCTGGTGTCACAATCCTGTTGCAACTGTAGCACTATGCCTTTTATCACAACATTATGGACATGCTTGTAACATTATTCGATCATTGTATCCTTTATTGTCATATACAATTATTCCTATTAACATTAATTTTTGATGCTATAATATTACTTAACTCAAAACAAATATAGTGAAAATATAGAAGTTACTGTAGAGTTCCTCATAGAAATAGACAAATTGGTACAATTAATTGAATCTCCAATATTTACCTGTAAGTGTTTTAAATTATTACTAATCTAAAGTCCTATTTACAAAAACATAATGCATTTCAGATTTGAGATTACAACTCCTAGAAAGAGAAGAAAATGATGCGTTAGTGTACGCGCTTTACGGTTTGCTCATGATTCTTCCTCAAAGTGAAGCATATGCAACTTTACAAAGACGTTTAGCAGCTGTTCCACCAACAACAAAGTCGATACCAAAAACAGTATCAAATCCAAAACCTTTTAAAGATACGTTTGATTTCCCTGAATTATTGAAACATTTCCATACCATTCAAGAACGGCATAAAGAACAAAAAAGGAACCAGCGATTAACAAGTATAATAGAAAAAAATACAAATCATATGGATATGTAAATAAAATATTTATTATTTTAAATTTTTGGATAAGTATAAATACTAATTTATGTAAAAGTAAATTTATATATACAGTTCTAAACTTTTTACCACACGAACGTACTTCCAAAAAGAAACCTGCGCATTTATTGTGTTGTTTATTATAAATATTACAAGACTACATATGATAAATAAAATTATTGCCAAATTTCACACGTAAAATAAATGATTTTTTCATCATATTTAACATACAAAGAGTCAATACATTAAATATATCGCTATTCATAATACTTTCTTTACAGAACAGAAGAAAGACATATTCTTTACATATAAGATTGTCTTATTAGATACATTTTTTTTAATTTAAATACAACATACGAAAAATTGCGATCTCAAAATGGCATTAAATATATATATTACTAAAGAACATTACTAAAGTTCATAAGGAAAATTTTACATTATTTACTTTCTATATTTACTGTATACATTGTCAGTCTTATTTTTGTTAAGAAAATAATACATATTATGAGTATTACTAAAGTGATGTATACTCAGAATCATCTGTATCTTCAAGATTATCAAGTGTTGATAAACGGTCAAGTTGGTCTATAAGTAAACCATTCCTATCCACAATCATTGCAATTTGTTCGTGCATTACACAAATATCTTTCCATATTTTTGTATTTTCTTGAGCGGGCAAATTAGTTTTCTCCACCGTCTTTAACTTCCTTGGAAGTCTGTCTATTAAATGTAAAAAGTTTTCGTAACGTTCCTTGCTTTCTTGAGATAAACGATATGAAAATGTTTCTAATATGTGTTCATATATATCTACATCTTTATCTAAAATTTGAGTTTGTAGGAAGACCGTTTGTGCCATTTTGTACCAATCAGCAACACATTCAGATCGACTTATCATAGAGGGTATACAAAATGTTTCAAGAAGAGTTTTTATTCTTTGACCTGTTTCGGTAACCTAAGAATAAATGGAGAAAAATTAAAAACGTTATGTTAACTTTGTTATGCTGTATTTGTTTGTATTGAGTACATACCTTTATTCGTTCTAGAACATGAAACTGCTCATCATTATATGTAAGACTACGGGTAGCTCGGTCCCTTAATAAATGTTGCCAACCATCTCGCAAGCGATCAACTAACGTTGTTGCCTTTTGACTTGCTTTATTAACCCATGGACACCATAATCCACGAATAATGTTATCCCATTCACCTCGTAAACTGCCTTCTTTTACATATCTACATTCAAAATAATGTAAATATTTTTATTTAAGTAAATTGAATAAGATGGCAATAAAATTTATTACCTCTGGTGAAGCTGCATTACTGCAGGAGCTAATTCAGTTAAAAGCTCTTTACTTTTTGAGTCCAACTCCTTTTTCCAATTTTTTACTTCTAAGGTATTTTGATTTCCAAGCTTTCTAGAAACTTTCCAAGCAAGATTTTCACTTCTTTCTACTGCTATAGCTGTATCTTCTATAGCTTTCGTAAACTCTTTAGAATGTTGACATTTTTCTAATAATCTTGTGAGTTCTGCAGAGACAAGACCACTAAAAGCCTCTATTGCATCCTGTGATAATTTACTACATAATACTAGTTTGTCAATTCTTCTTTTACAGACATAGCCAACTGAACAAGCTACTTTTGCTTGACTAGCATCATTTTCTACAGACACTAAGTTTGCAAATACTGGAAATTTAGGTAATTCTGCATCCACAGGCAAATTAACATTATTGTTTTCTTTAGAAAATAGCATTAGTGGCTTGCTTTCAGATGTATTTGGGTAACTTTTCCCAGGAGTAGATTCTTCTACAATGTTTGTTAAAAATGTATCTCCAAAAAGAAGTATCTGTGCATGTGGTACAATATCAGTTTGATCTTGTATGTGTACTTGAAGTGCTGTCAATTTTTCTTCAGGATGCAAGAAAACTTTTACTAGACTACCTTTATGTATGTTAAATATATATACACGTTTTCTGCAAAGAGTATCTGTAACTTCAGAGAAAAACCGTTCAAAACTCCATATTTTCTGAGGATCAACTTCTAGTAAGCCAGCTAATAATGGAGTTACAATTTTTTTTAAACCAACACTCAACTGACAATTTTGTGGCAATTCTCTATTCCATTCTATTGGTCCATTTTCTGAAGTTTGTATACCTGATATAACACCAGAGGCTTTTTTTGATATAATATAAAACATTGTTTCTTTATTTCTACGACCACCAAATGGTCTAAATGGTAAGTTTCCTGTAGCTACGTGATACAGAGTTACACCTATAGACCATAGGTCTACAGTTGCTCCAAATGTTTTGCCAACAGGTTTACGTAAAACTGCACGTTCATATATATCTGGATGTAAGTATTCTTCTGTACCATATAAAGATACAAATTGTTGATCTTCTTGTAATTCTCTGGCAGCACCAAAATCAGTAAGTTTATAAATTGTGCTACCATCGTCAGCAATAAATTTCATTATGTTACCTACAAGAGAAACAATGATTTATTATTTTATAAAAAAGCATATCAAATATGTATTTTTCAAAGTTAACACTTTGTTTACATTTACACTTTTAAATTATATAATATTCTACCAGGTTTTAAATCTCTATGTACTAAATTATTGTCACGTAAATGTTTCATTCCAGCAGTTAAATGTTCCAAGACAAACAAAAATTCGCTTTCTGCTAGCCCATAAGTATTTTCTGGATCGTCTAAAATATTAAAAAGACTGCCCCCTGTACAAAGTTCCATAACAATCACTGTGCCACGACCATCTTGCTCCTCTTCAATTGCTAATAGTTGAACAATATTCTCATGATTTACTTTTTTAAGGACTTCAAATTCTCGCATTTGCACATCATGTGGGCGCATATGACTCAGCTGATTGAACGTCTTAACCGCGACAGGTTCTCCATTGTTTTTATTCACCCCTTGAAAAACTGCACCAGTTGCTCCTTTACCAAGAACACTAGTGGTGCACCAAACAAAATTAGCTGAACCACGTAAAAAGGACATTTTTATGCTTTTGAGAGTTCATACACTATTGTTGTTTTGACAGTTTGACAAGTGGTTTAACCTTTTTTATGAATGGTACATTTAAAAAATACTATGCTTGTATGTGTTTATATGTGTTGAAACTTTCTGCTGTTCAGGATTAATCTGAATCATTTCATAACACATTACATGAAAATTTATGCGAACAATTAATGCAGTGTTCTCTATATCACTAACGCGTAACGCACACTTGTCAGCATTCATTCGACTTTCGAATAAACTGCAGTACATACGTGCAGGAGCGGAACAATGTTCAAAAGTCCCAAGAGTCATACAAATCGATTAAAACTCGCGAGTGCAAGATTAAAATGTCAATCGTAGTCAAGGATGACGATCCCGTTTTTCAAAGGGCACGACGTTTGTAATAAGCTATTGGATTAAGCAAAAAATGGATTTTTCCATGTTCCCATAAAAAAAGATAGTAGGAAGTATACTGCGTTTACCATCACAGGCGGTCATTATGAATTTTTGAGGGCTCCGTTCGGGTTATGTAATTCACTCAGTGTATTTCAAAAATTTATTAACGAAATTTTCCGTAAATTATTAAAAGACAATATTGTCCTGGCTTACATGGATGATCTAATAATACCTTCGTTAACAGTGGACTGTGGAATCGAGCGATTATCGCGCGCGTTAAAGTTAGCTTCTGAATACGGTCTTCTTATTAGTTGGAACAGCGCAATCTTAAAATCGCGGGTCGAATTTCTAGGGCAAGCAGTGATATTTGGAAACCCGCGCCGTATCATTAGCGACCAAGGCACTGAATTCACGTCGAATGCATTTAAAAACTACCGCAGCGAGCAACGCATTGAACACGTTTTGATCGCAACAGGTACTCCAAGAGGTAATGGACAAGTTAAAAGAGTTAACCGAATCCTTATCTCTATGCTGTCAAAGGTAAACGCACTGAAGCCGGAAAATTGGTATCGCTGCCTCGATGCGTTGCAACGATGTCTAAATTCTACGTATCATCGAAGTACAGTAAACCCTCTTAACCGGCCCATATTGAACCAGGTCTCTGGCCAGATAAACGAATAGCCGGTTAATCCGACGATATCACTTGTAGGTAGTAAATTCAATAAAAAATAAAGAAATGTTTATTGAACGATTATTTATATAAAGAAATCAATAATGAGCTTCGATGTGGCTGACGATGACTTTGATGTGCAACGGTTGTCGATGGTCTTATGTCGAAGTCCATTATTGCTATAGAAAAATCACAATCTATTTCTATGGAAACCACTGGTCGGTTAAAGCGGAACCGGATAAGAGGGAGTCTACTGTATTGGTATATACAGAATAGTCTATACCTATCACCACAGACGACGTTTCTGCATGTGTAATGTCTAACCCCTCTCTCTACAGATTACAGGGGGCCAATAAGATAGGCCGAACGAATATTGTGCTTCCAGTCTGCGCATAGCTTACAGTTGTGTATATCGGGACGTCTTTAAATATTTTTCACGTCTTTATTGCACAGAATACAACGTTCACCATTCAATCGACAGGCAAATCAAGTTTCAAACTACTCATCAAGCATGTTCGCGAATATAGTTTATCAAAAATAAATGTTAGGTATAGTGTGATTATCCGGAATATACACGATGAACAAATTGATGTTTTTTGCGCTGTTTGTTTGTTCAGTGTCATTTTTACATTGCTGCGATGCCGTTTCGACCATCAAGCGGTAATTGTTGCAACCGAACAAATTCTTTGACGATAAGAATCAGATTATCGACGAAGAAAAGTTTTTAACAGATATATTGGGTGCTAATAAATTTCTGATTCAAAGATGCTGTTTTTAACACGTTCGCTACTGCGTTACATTTGTGCGACGCGCCAATTCTCATGTCAGTACGGTATTACCTATATGTGATACATTATACAAAATGCATATTACGTGTGCAAACATGCATCGTATTATGTAAAATTGATAAAAATATAGATAGATATGAAAAATTTAATAAAAATAATACGAAGGATAGGGGACGATGCTTCGACAGAATCGTATAGTAGCAAACGTGTTAATTGTAAGTAACTGGCGATAGTGGTGAATTCTTGACACTTTAATCCTCCTTTGTACATACTTTGCTTAAACATCAGTTGAAGGGTAACTTTTTTTACCTAATAAAAATTTTACCTCCGGAAACCATCGGTATGTACCACCCAGTGGTACACGCGGCACTCGTGTTAAAGTACCAAAATTAATCGTGTAAATAGAGTGTACGAAAAAGAGACAAAGAGACATCTATGTTTCTATTAATCCTAAAGGAAAAAGTAAAACATAAAAATTATTCACAATTAACAGTAAAAGACGTAGTACTATGTTGACGATCTTAAATAACTGCAATTTAATTCGTACAAACTTAACGATTGTAACACTACGTCGTCAGACTTGTTAATGTTTCATGATACGTGACGGATAATAGAGTTCGGAAAAAGTATCGTGTGTTTATACCGATTTTATTTTGTTTTGTAGGGGATATATGTTTACGGCCCCGAAAAGGCTGTTAATCGGTGAAACTGAGAGCGGGTGTCTATCTTTGCACAATTTAGAGCTGCCGGCTAGAGTTGTACTTGAACTACTGGTAGGACCGAAAGATGAAGTGTTAACCCATACTAGCGCTATTATGAAAACAGGTAAATAAATTCATGAATTACTGTATGTGCAATGAAAAGAGTACTCCGTGAAAAATACGATGAAAAAATAAAAACAATCCTCAAAACAAAATGGAATTCTGTATGGGGTACGATTGCTAATTGCTTATAAATCATCGTCGTACGAAGAAAGAAAATTTAACCTTTCAAAATTAAGAATTAATAGCTGCGAGGAATGTAATTCGCTACAAAAAGAACAAGAATAGAATAACATATCGATTCACGATCGTTTTGAGAATTACTTTGAGGATTACACGAGAAATTTTTCATTATACACTATACAACGAAAGATTCAATCGAGTTTTTGGAACAAGTTCTTTTACATCATTTTTCTTTTTCGTCTTCTCCCTCATCCTTGTGTGGTCTTTTCGTCTAGAGTCGGGCTCTTTAAACAAATCGTAAATTGAAATTGTCGTCGTTTCCTGCGGGGGAACTGAATTGGCCGACTCCCTCTGTGGAGAGGAAATAAGCAATCACTGGAATACATGAGAAACCCATTTATATTGTTATGCACGGGGTGAACAACGACGTAATGGCCGTTTAGCTTGATCAAGGTTCGACTTCGGCGAATAAATATACCTGATGCGTAAGAAGTCCTAAGACGATGTTAATATTCAATGTAACCCGCTGGTTGTTCATCTCGCGAATGAACATTTCATGAATATTAGTAATTAACTGATAATAAAGATAATAGCTCTCACACTGTTCTCTTTATTAACTTTAGTCAATTACTTAGTAATAAATAATTAAATTAAGTCGCGAGTAAGTCGTTAATTTATCGATACTAAATAATATAAGCATTAATAAAAAGATAGTATTATTTATCAGCAACAGAGCGATACAATGATATTAATAGTAAATTTAGTATGAGTACCACATTACAAAATTTAGTTTCATTATTATTAAAAGAATTTTAAAACTATCTCGATTCTAATATATTTGGATAGACATTTTTTTTTGCTTCTCGGGATTAATGAATTTAACCGGAACAAGTTGATTCTGAAATTTTTTTCTCAAGAACGACTGTAGAAACAACAATTAAATTAAATCGAGGTATAGTTAGACGGTGTTCTTGATACAGCAATTTATCGATTAAGGGCATCTTTTGCGTGAATACAGTTATGTCAATGCGGATAATTATTGTAAAGAGGAAAATTTTTGTGTAGATGTTGCATACCAATACAAAAGTAACTGTAATAGATCATTTACATTACATTCTCAGTATTAATATTGCATCCTGGACTTATTTTTTAAATAATTTTTTTATTGTATTAACGTGAGTGTTGCTTATTTTACAGGTGTAGAAACATGCCTGCAATTAACTGTGCCTATAACGAAATACACAGACGGAATACTCCGACTCAGGATCAATTTCGACAAGTACCCCGATTATGTGGTCGAGTCGAAGGAGAACGTTGACATCGAGCCCGGTTCTCTGTTGACTTTCGTGGAAACCGATAAAGCCATTTACAAACCTGGCCAGGATGTTAATATCAGAATTCTTATGCTTAAGCGTGATCTGAAACCTTTGAAGACAGTGGTAAGAAGTTGTGTGATTCGTTCGAACTTTCTGTCGTATGTTTAAGGAGAAGCTTTCTATTTGAAGTGGTAAAAAAAGAAAAGGAAGAAAGAGCGAAATTTCCTTTTAGTAAAGTAACAAAGTAAAAAACAAAAAAAAAAACAAAATCAAAACAGAATAGAAACGTGTTTCTAAATTCGAAAGATTATCTATTTGTTTTAATCATGGACCTCTTGATTCGATAATGCTTTAAATTAAACATTGCAAAAAGTTTCGACATAAGTAACTTTCGATGGGTTCAGATCGAAAACCTTCATTTAACGTTCCCTTGAAATCGTTATTTCTAACATGTGACAATTGTGCGTATCGTTTGTAGATTCCGAAAGTGTGGATTGAAAATCCAGCGAGTGTGAGGGTGGCACAGTGGACGAACGTAAGCACGGAGAACGGGATGGCACAATTGACGTTTCCCCTGTCTCCAGAACCGAACTCGGTAAAATTCAAAACGTTATTGTTATTGCTATTGAGAGGAAAGAAATTAGGGTGAAATGAGCTGAATGTTAAATTAGGAAGATCAGGGGTATTTCAGTAGAAAATATAGAAAGAGGGGGGGGGGGGGGGTGCAATGTGAATAACGACAAAGAGGAGCAAAGTAATAGTTTCACTCTAAATGGCAAGTTATAATTTCATAAAAATTGTACATTGAAGAAAATGTAAAAAGACATTTGCGTGTGTGTGTGTGGAACAGGGAGATTGGGTAATAAAAGTGGAGAAAAAGAGTGTAAAAGATATGTCGCAGAGAATGAAATTTCAAATGATTCACCAAACTACGTTCGAAGTGGAAAAATACATTCTGCCAAGATTTCAAATAACGATCGATTCACCGGAATATATTCTTGCCGATGTAGAAAATGTCACTTGGAACATCTGTGTCAAGTATCGTTTTTGTATTTTTCATCATAACCCTTTGGATATACGAATGAACTGAAAAATTAAGTAATTAATGACATTACAGATATAGCTATGGTAAACCTGTGAAAGGTACACTGCTGTTGAAATTAACGCCGCGGACACCTAGCTGGCAGAGAAAGCCTAATTTTCCAGCGATACGTTACGAGACGGAAGTAGGTAGCACATTTATTTATTTATTTTTTTTTCGCTACAACAACGTTGTCGATTATCGATATGAAAAAGTATTTAAATTTAAACATTTTAGCTTAATAATCCAGACGGTTGTACTGAATTTGTGCTTTCCGAGACCCTTCTTGGGTTAGCGCATTGGAAAGTCGATCCGAACAATATCATTCTGATAGCAGAATTTACGGAAGCTGGGACTGGTATAATGCAAAGTGCGATTAGTCTGACAAGGGTGGTGCACGAAGCTTTCAACTTGAATTTCGACGACTACATGCCAAAGTACTTCATGCTGGGCTTGCCTTATCATGGAAAAGTGAATTTTTTCTTTCACATGTTTGTCAGTTGTTTTGATTTATTAAGCTTGTATTTTTTATACGATAGTTACGAGTTTTGCGACACGACAATACACCTGTTCCGAATGAGAAAATTCAAGTTTGCCTGAGTACACGCGGAAAGATCGACTGGTCGAAGAATGTAGTAGAATGTCGCGACTTCATATCGTCCATCGATGGTTTCATAGATTTTGTTGTACCGCCACAACACAAGAGTACCGTTCTGTTAACTTTCGCCGCCACTGCTGTTGATTATCCACCGAAATATTACTCACCAGAAAAACCTTCGAGGGTAGGTAACATACAGTAATAATAACTGTATTTTTTCTTCTTTTGGTTATCATCGTTACAAGTGGTAAGACTTATTCTAATAACTTTTACTAAAAATTATAAAACAAAATTGCTTAATTTAATTATTTCTTAATTATTTCTTTGTTCAAATAATTTTTTTTACTGATATGCCTACAATACTAACTTTGGCGAAAAAATGTAATGTAAATCATATAATACTTTCTGTACAAACATAAGTAATATCTTTTAGGTTTCCATGAATCAGCCTTCCAGCTATATTAATATAATTCCTTGGTATTCTCCGTCGGATAGCTACTTAGTGGTAGCACGAGGAAATCAACCGATCGTGTGTGGCGAAAAATATTCCTTTAACCTGATGTACACGATACCCCCTAATGCGAACGAATCCATTTCTTTCCACTATTCAATCAATTCGAAAGGAAGTATCTTAATATACGGACATGTGAAGCATAAGCCTAGTCGAGACACGGTATTGAACTACTCTGAATTTCGGAATATACTGAGTGCTGTGGAACCATTGACCAATAAAACTGACGACAAACCCGTGGTGCACAGGTAAATTTAACAAATTCAAATTTTCTAATTCATATTGTACCGTTATCATAATGTTATATATACATATACATAGTGGTTCGTTTAAATAAGTAAGCTAAGTATTTGCATTAATAGTAGGTTTCTTTTTAATTAGGTTCCCATTAAGCGTTAAAGTTACACCAAGCATGGCTCCAATCTCAGAATTATTACTTTATTACGTTCGATTGGATGGTGAGGTTGTCGCGACCACCTACACCATTGAGGTTGGTCATTGTTTCGAGAACAAAGTGAAAACCGCATGGCACACCGACGTTCAAACCCCAGGCTCTACCACTCAGTATCACGTCGAAGCTGCTCCTTGGTCTCTATGTGGAATTTCTGCTATAGACAAATCGACTCTTTTTCTCAGCAAATCAAGATCGAATTTGCTCAATGCCGCTAAAATATTCGACGAGCTGAGGACATTCCTTCCAAAACCTTCCAATTCCTTCCAAATAGCTTCCGATCGTAGATGTAGAACGGTGGCACGTGAAGAAACGAATGAAGAGATCGCGCACTTTCCACCCACTTGGAATCTGCGAAAACGAAGAAGTCGCATGATAACTTATGATCGGTCCGTTAAATATGTGGACGCGACGGAAGCTTTCAGCGTAAGATTATTTTTGCATGAACGTTCAGAGTTGTTCCTTTAATGCTATAGGTGACTTGATCCGTGTCTCTCGTAGAACTTTGGAGTGGTTGTAATGAGCGATCTGGTGCTAGAAACACGACCCTGTCCATGGTTATTCCAGGAGCATACAGCGCTTGACAACGCTGAACTTAATCAATATGTACATGCCCAACAATTTGGCAAGTACTACTTTTTTTTTTTTATTCCTGACGAATCTTAACACTTAATGGTACTGATCAAACAAATGAATTGGCTTGGTGATGTGCGATGAATTTTGTCTATATCGGTAACAGATTTCGCAGTTGCTGCTGCAGCGAAGGATCCAGGAGTAGTTGATGATCTTCCATCTAAAAGTCCCACCCTTAGATCTTATTTCCCTGAAACATGGTTATGGGAATTAATACCTACTGGGTACGATTTAAGTCATTTTTTAAAATGTGCTGCGTATCATAGAAACTAAAAAATAGACGAACCTTATTTTTTTTATATATATTGCAACATATGAACATTTTCATATCAATTTTTATAGTTAAAATTATTTATTACGAACAATAACTGTCTATAATACTGCTTAAATTGGACGTGTAATGTCGGGTGTCAAATAACTACTGCATATTGAATTAATTTTCGTAGGAAAGAAGGTAAAGTAACGATAGAACGTACACTTCCGCACACTATCACCGATTGGATTGGCCACACAATTTGTATTTCACCAACTCACGGTCTTGGAATAGCACCACCAACCGCCATAACAGCGTTTCAACCGTTCTTTCTTGACTATAGTTTACCATACAGCGTAAAACGCGGGGAAATATTGCATTTAAAGGTGTCTCTCTTCAACCATATGCAACATAGCTTACCTGTAAGTACGTACCTGTAATTAATAATGAAAATACATGTATAGAGTATCATATCGCTGCTACTTTTTGCACAAATAGACTCCACAGGTACAGTATTTTTACCATGTAATAAAGAACAATTGATATTGTCTCATCATTTGATTGACTAATTAATGTACACAGATAATGATTCACTTGGAAGAGGTAGCAGGACTTGATCTGCATTTGTCGCATCCTAATGCCTCGTTCTGCGTGAAACCACGGGATAGTATCGTTCACGAATATATTCTTAGGCCACTAGTAGTCGGAGAAGTGAACATAACGGTGTCCGCTTTTATAGACACTGATTATCTAGATTCGTGCGGACCAGACACTCCAATATTTACACGGTAATTAAGAATAAATGAGTAGCGCGCAATCAGAATGTATCGTAAATCGTGATGCAACAAAGAAAAGGTGACAATTCTTTATGTGAAAATAAGTGAAAAATGTATATAAACAATGAGCATGTGTTGAAAATCATTTTTCATTATTTTCAATATAGAATTCTTTTAACGCGAATATTCAAAGTGGTGCAGTGTACGAAAAATGTTCGTGTTACATTGTCGGCTTACTTTTACATGAGAAATCACCGCTTTTTTTGTTGTAATACGATTTTCACTATACCGTGTATATTACGTTAAGAAAAAAAAAAGCAACCTGTTTAGTGTTGTTTAATAAATTATGTGTCAAATGGTTTTTGTTTTTAAGGGATGCAATCGTGAAACCAATTCTAATTTTACCAGAAGGTTTTCCCATACAGGAAACGAAATCGGCGTTCATATGTCCGATGAACTTCAGCGACGATTCTATGTCGATGTGGGAATTGATGTTGCCTAAGG